CAGTTGCTGGAAAAACTCGATCAGCCCTGCAACCTAATATGGATCTCGGAAAAAGAGAAACCGCCCGGTCGTACAGAGAAGATCACGTGAAGAAAAGTAGGATAAACCATAAATCGTGAAATTAAGTAAGAAACGTTGAAAATCAATGTAGAAAAGAAAGTCCAGGCAAAAACTGGACATTTATATCAGTTTATAACCTGCTGCGTTGTGAGGAGTTTCAAAGTGCCGCATCGAGGTCTGAGCTACCCCGACACACGAAGCACAACAGAGCTAAAGACCTGAGGCAATAAAAGCACAAATAAATCTGGTCAAGGTCAGTGAAAGCAAAAACACCTTAATTTTACAACATGTCTTATCTTTTTATCCAAGTTACAAGGGATGTCAGGTGTCACGCCCAAATTCATAACAGCAGAACAAATGACAACAAAAAGACTAAAATAATTTCTCAAGTCAAATTATTGGCCCCGTCTTGTTCATTAAGACTGAGAAAGTTTACCTTTTTGCATATCTTAATTTTATTTATTGGTTTCAATGTTTTACAGCAAAACAATTGGACAAAAATGAGCTTCTCAAAGACATAATCACAAGAGGGGATACAGAACAAAGAACAAATGGGATCCCTGAGGAACCCCAAAACTGAAAGCGGCAACAGAATTTCTTTCTTTTTTTTCTTTTTTGAAAAAAGGACCCAAATACAGAGTAGGGGCTGAGAATGAGTTGAAAACAGAATACTTTAATAAAGTATAAGATTAGTTCATAAACCATGAGAGGCAACGAGGGAAGAAAACAGACAAGACAAAACAATCCATCAGGGAACGACTGAAAAAGACAGGAATAAATACTGACGAGTGCATTTGCTGACAAGGTTCAGGTGGTTGATTACAAAAGGGGCATCTGAGAGAGAAGACAAACAGGTAGACTGAGAGAAGATGAAAAATAAACCAAAAGAAGCTGAACAGGGACTCAACAGATCCTGATTACAGGAGGCTGACAAAAAGGCCGACTACAAATAAATACAAATATTCAAGAAACAGGACACAAACATAGCCTAAGAAACTAAACACCTAGAGAAGAACCAATAAGGCAAAACCTTATAATAATGAACTAACTGTGGCAAGACCTTTTAAGAGATAACAAAGAACACAAATACAAGTAAAAATCAAAACCCAAACACTAAAGGATTGTGACGCAGAACAGGTAGAGAACAGATACACTTGGATCTGTCAGGAACCAGCACTTTTGTTTCCAACCATTTGTTCCAATGTGGAACAAAAGGAGCAGAGCTTCATCAACCTGGTTTACCAATTGTGAATCTGGTTATAATGATCCACAACACCAAACAGGTCTAAAAGCATTTCAAAAAAGGCCTGTGCAAGGCATCAATGTAGAGTAATTAAGCCCCGCTAAAAGAGCCGGTTCAGTGTTACGGTGTGATTTAGGGCTGTTTCTCTGTGTTAATTTCATTGGCCTTTAAAAGCTGAAGCCAATTAGGAATTTGATTAAAATGAGCATCAAAAGTGTTTTGTAGCACATGCCAGGATAACTTTGACTCGTATATACTTGACTTTTAAAGCACAGACAGGATTTTCTTTTATTGTTTGCCAGCCTGGCTAAGAGGTTTTGCTAGCTCTACACTTAAAATATAATAAAAAACACAACACTAATAATATTAATTTCGAACACTAATTGCACCCAGGAGCTGGGTTAATTGTTCTCTCTCTCTTGCTCAGGTGGGCATGACAAGACACTGGTTTTGATTTTTGTTTTGTCTAAAGCGTGCAGATCACAAGCTGTTGGTAACATCTGCTAGTTTTCAAGAGGAATAGATTAAAAAAAATTGGGGATATAAAACAAAAAAAGTATGAGATGTAAGGATGAACCTGATAAAACTTTTGCAATATTTGATCTATAGGTGTTATAGAAAATAAAAGGCTTGATTAAGCAGAAAAAAAAAATAGCATTCACTGTGTACAAGGTGTCCTTTCTTACTCGGCTTGAAAGTGACGATTGTTTACTTTAATCGGCGATAGTTGACGGTCTTCCACTGTTATTATGTGGATCTTAAGCTGAATCTGCTACTACTGACAACCAAAGAGTTGGCTATAATTTAACATCTTACCTCAGGATATCAGAATGACCTGTAATTTTTCATCAAGTGCCATGATTAAATGTCACTTAATCATACACTGTGATTTAGGAGAAAAATACCTTCGAAACTAATTAAAGTGCCCTAAGTGCAGTGGAGGAAAATTAGATACTTTTGAGGAAAGTGTACAGCTTTGAAATGTATGCATGAACAAAATGTTGTCATCATTTCTATTCTTAACAAGAAGGCGAAAGATGAAAATTAAGCTACTCCTGTGCAGGTACTCCATTCATAAAAGTGCATCCGTCAGATTTACATGTATTGTTGATTCTCTAATGTAGAGAAAAGCAGAATATTAATGAGAGGCTGTAACATAAACTCCATGTTTCTTGAGGAAAGTAACTATTATACTTTTATCACCTTTATTGAAATGATGCCTCGTTATTTCTTACCAATTTTATTTCGATGTAATGATGGACATGTGCGTCTTCTGACCAAATTATCTTCTGTTATTGAACTACAGCAGCTATTGTCTCATGGTTTACTCAAGCGGTGTCTTAAATACCAAAAGAAAAAGGCCAATCAATTAAATCAGTCAGTCAATCAGTCAATTGAGTCAGACCAGTTTACCAGTGAAACACAATTAAAAGTCAGAGGTGGAAGGGAGAAGAGCTCATAACGGCTTCCTCATTTACTGAACGTCTGTTTTTTTTTTAAACAATCAGATGAGATCTATTTATACTAAAAGTTCAGGCTGAACTGTTCCTCAGAAATTATGAATGCATTTTTAAACCCAGTCACCCCTGATAAATCCGTCCTTCAATGTTCTTGTTACTCTGACGGAGCGAGCTGCAGTAAGGTTGAATCGCTGATTGAAACTCCGCTCCAAGTGCCTTGAAAAAAATAATCATTTTCAGGAGACTAGAGTCAATATCTGATGAACTCCTAAAATGCATTGGTTTATTTAAAAAAAAAAAAAAAAAAAACAAGGAATGTTTCAAGTCCCGCAGAGGCAAAAGTTGAGTGTTTTTGGTAAAAACGAACTGAAGCAACATTTCAACATTAAAAGTGTCTGAACTCATTTATCATCATTTCAGCAGCGAAATCAAAAAAAGGCCAAGGAGAGATTTCTCTTCATATCTGTATAAAAGAAAGCTTTATCACTTTATGCTGGACAACATAGACAGTGGCTCAATGTTAGTTTTGGAAAAAAATGTGCAATTTATGAAATGCAGTTTACACAGTAATCGTTTGTGGACTTGAAAATCTCAGAATACAGTTGATTGGTATTGGTGCATCCTATTCTTGTGACGATAAAAAATGACAAAATATTATTCATTACTAATTTTAGATAACCGTATGGCTGTGACTGCATGACACAAAATTTATGGCACCGCAAACACAAATATTGTTCTTGAAAAATATTCCAGTTTGAAATAATTTTCTTTGGGACGATACTTTACGTCTAATGTACTTTTTTCAGTAAACTACTCGCATCAGCCGCATTTAATCACAATCGAATTACTGACATTTATAACAAAAAATCTAAATTCTTATAAGAAATTTGTAACAATAAATAATAAATGGTCCTATAAATGCTCACCACTGGTCAAAAAGTAGACCTATTTCTGTAATTTCATTCAAAACATGAATATTGTGTGCTATACGGACTCTCTGCGCACACAGTGCAGCTGAATCGGACGCGAACACACGCCATAAAGTCTGTTTAAAACATCATCCTACCAGTACAACGTCACAGGTGAATTTTACATCATCAAAACAATCTTGCAGGTTATTCTGCAGTCTGAGGAACTTCATGTAATCGTCACTAATAACCTGAGCGAAAGCCTCAGCAAGCCCAGAGTTGCAGAAAAATATTTAAAAAAATTAATAAAAAGTAGGTACTCCTAGCTAACCTACAGGAGGTGTGATTCAATGTTAGAAAGCAAGAAAATAAATATGCATTTTAGCTTTAACTGTATATTTTAAGTGCACTTTTACAGGGATTCAATTAAACACCCACATGAAATAACTAAACATCCATCCATACCAGGAACATTTGTCAATACAATAGATTTGTTTATGTTCTTAAAAATGTTTAATTATATTTACAGAACAAAAAACATAGTCAGGATCACATTGAGTAGTATTTCTTCTTTTTTCTTTTTTGGCAAATAATAAAGACGCGAGTTAAAAATACTAAGCAATGTAAGTAGCCAAATCCAACTAGATAGTGTGCAGCACAAACAGTTTGAAACAGCCCCACATGAACACCAGTAATTTTGATACAAGATCATAGTGTAGAAAACATATGGTTTACATGATGAAGCTAAACAGAAATATGATACATAATTTTTAACTTTTCTTTTTTAAAGGTCACACCGTTTTTTATTCACAATGTGAGACACAGTCTCATGAGTGCCGTCACACTTAAAAAAAAAAAAAAAAAAAAATGGAGTTCACCGGGAAGGAGAAAAACAAGCACAGTAGTTAAATGAATATTATTCCAATATTGAACAAGCTGAGGCTGACTCAGTGACGTAAAGCACGGCCGAGTTCTGGTTTTGGTACCAGCAGCAAGGCAAAGATGCACCAAGTGAAAAATAAATAAGTGAAATGAAATCCAGAGACGGATAAGCAGGAAAACAAACTTCTCTTCGTCTGATTGAAACTGGAGTTTTGGAGTTGAAACAAAGAAGTTTGATTTAACTAAAACACATGTCTAACTCCACGAGTCTCAGACATGACTTATTTACATTGAAAAAAATATCTAAGTAATATATTAAGTTAAACTTGAAAATTAATAGTAATAATAATAATAATAATAATAATAATAATAAAAATAAGCAAGCAATATTGTAAAGCAAGAGTAAAGCAAGTAGGCGAAGGAGAAGAAAAGTCTTGGGTCTTTTGAAGTTGGACATTTCTCCTCCCGCTGCAGAAAAAAAAAAAAAAAAAAAACGTCCATCTTTAACACTTGAACAGGTAACGACGGGCGAGAGGGAGCGAAAGCCATGAGCGCAGGCCGAAACGGGGGCAGTTTTTAGGTGGTCTTCACCAGGTCATAGACGTGAATGTGGACGTCATCGTCGTATTTGATGTAATAAACGGTGGGCTTCGCCGGGACCTGGTAGATGACCAGCCCCGTCCTCTTCAGGCCGTTGTCTGTCACGTACTCCACCTGTTTACCCACAAGGCTCTCTGGCTCCTCACCTGGCTTCCTGTCAGCCGGCAGCAGGTGTTTGTTCTCTGGAAGACCAAACACAAGAAAATGGAAAAAAAAAAAAAAAAAAAAACATCAGACCGGTAACAACTGAAATACGCAGTTTATAGCAGTTTTCTACATTCGTGAAGTGATTTGTTGGGATTTTATGTGACCAATACAAAGTAGCATAAAATTGCAAAGTGGAAAGAAAACAATACATTGTTTTTAAAGCGTTTTTTTTTTTTTATATATATATAAATATAAAATAAAAACCTGACAGCTCTAACTTGCATTTGGATCTAAAATGCATTTGAAAAAAAACAACAAAAAAAAAAAAACATTTTGCTGCATGTATAACTCCACGTCCTTTGCATACCCAGCTTTGCTTATCAAGGCTGAAACTTTCCACTTAGCTCTTTGCAACGTAGCTCAAACTCAGCTGAATGAATGATGAGTATCTGCACAAACAAATGTTTAACTTTTGCCCTAAATTCCTAAAGTGTTGGACTTTGACTTGGCAATTCTGACATAAATATGCTTTGATCTAAACCATTTTATTATCCAGCTGTGTGTTTAGTCTGATTATTTTTAATCTTTTGCTGCCCCTAACTGGTTTCCTTCCAGAATTGCCCAATGTGTGTCTTCCTATCAACTCTCAACACATCTCTGCTAAAGAAGAGCACAGCATGATGCTGCCACCACCATGTTTCACTGTGAGGATGTTGTGTTCAGGGTTTGTTTCTGTCGACGCAAAATTATTTTTCATTTAGAGCTTAAAGTTTGATTTTAGTCTCATCTGACTGGAGCACCTTCTTACATGTCACCGCCTGATCTCTACCTGGTTTCAGGCAAACTTTCTTTCTTTTAGATATTTTTTATCAGTAAATGGCCTGTACTTGTATAGTGCTTACATCAAGTCCAGAGGACTCCAAAGCACTTAATACCAGTCAGTCATTCGCCAATTAAGCTAGAATTACCACCGACCTCTTGGCTGTTTTTTTTTTTTGGTTTAATATACTGCTAAAAAAATAAAGGGAACATTTCACTTTAATTTTGTGTGTGGCTCCAAATCCAGGCCTCCATTGGTTAATAAATTTGATTTCCATTGATGATTTTTGTGTGATTTTGTTGTCAGCACATTCAACTTTGTACAGAACAAAGTATTCAATGAGAATATTTCATTCATTTAGATCTAGGATGTGTTTTTGAGTGTTCCCTTTATTTTTTTTGAGCAGTGTACTTTCCTTGCTTAGTTTTGTTAAAAGAAAAAAAAAAAAAACAGCAAAAAGTAATTTTCCTTCCAAATCACATACGTATAACTTTGTGTTGCTGTAACGCATTAAATCCTAACAAAAACATTGTGGTTGAAAAAAAAAATATGAAAAAGAACATAATAAGGAATAGTTCTACAACTTCTAAGCAAAAAAATATGCCAAACATCATCATGATGAAAACAAAACAGTAAAGTCATATTTTTTTTGACTCAGACTATTTAAATTCATCCTTCTCCCTGAACTCTAAACCGTTACAAAATGTCTTAAAACGTTCAGTGCGCTACCAGAGCGCTCCTTACTGTACCTGACTCCGGCAGGACACGGAGATCTCCGTCTTTGTAGTCGTCCCACAGCTGGTACATGTACAGCACCGGGTCCTTCTCGTAGGTGATGTAATACCAGTGGGTCATGATGGGGGCTCGGGACAGGACCATGCCCCGCCACTCGTTTTTCTCCCCGTCCTCCTTCTCGAACAGATGCTCCACCGCTCGACCCACGAGCTCCTCGGCCCCCGGAGGCACCTTGATCTTATTGTTTACTGCGACGGAGAGAAGCCGCTTTAATGAGCCCGGAAGCTTTGCAGATCCAAAATAAATAGTCGGTGCATAAAAGTACCAACGTCGGTTCAACATATTGAAAATTGCTTCATATTAACCAATATCAGATTTAAAAATTTTAAAAAGTCGAGTTGAAATTGCCTCCCATCTTAGAAAAGTCAGAAGCTAAATTAACATTCTCTGCACAGTTTACTTGTTTGACAAAGCCGACAGAGGTTTTCTAGGTCAGTCAGCATCAAATGATACATTTTTGTAAACAGAAGTAAAAAAAAAAAAAAAACAAGTAGACAGGTTTACAGTTACATCAAAGCTTGCAATATAAAACTAAATGAACTACAACATACTCACCGACTTTCTCTGCCAAAACCTGCAGGTTGGACACCCGGTTGTCTTTGAAGAGCTCGATGCCGTAAACGCAGTCAAAGCCGTCGTATTTGACCATGTAGAGGGAGTTGTTGACGGTGAGGCGCTCCAGGACCGTGCCTTTCCATTTGGTCACATTGCCCTTTTCCCTCCAAGTGTGCTGGATCCTGCGGCCCAAGAGGTTATCCGGGTCCGGGCTCGAGGTCGACGCCAAGCTTTCACTCAGCTCTCCACTGCTACGCTTCCTTTAATCGCAACAGAACATGTCTTTGTTTTAAGAGGTCAGTTTAAGGAAAGTCTGACTTTTAATTGACTGTTACTGCAGATCCAATGCTTTTATGCATAAAATCACATTAAAGGCACAGATTGAATGCAAATTAAACTTGGAATAAGGGCTTACGGTTTGTCTTTTTTTAAAAAGAGTATTACAGATAAAGTTTATTTTAATTTTCTTGACTAAGGTCAATTTGTTCTTTTTTTTTGTCCTTGAACGTGTTAATTTCACAAAATATTTTAGATACCATGACTGCAAAAAGAAGGGGAAGTTAACCTAGTTTTGCAAACTGACAGAAGTAACATGCATGCATGCATGCAAAAAAAACAAAAAAAAAAACAAAGCAAACCAAGTCAGTTTCAATCATGAACGTGTCAAATGTTCATGAAAAGCTGCAAACAATTTGTTTGTGTTGTCTGCATGCATGCAACGCCCAGGGGTTTTCTCTCACTGCTAAACAGGCTCATGCTACATCATAGGACTTTATGCAGAAGTAAAGTCGAGGATTTAGTTGTCTTTACAGCACACTGAAATAGATAATCGTGCTAATGACAATGTCTTTTTATATGGATTAGTAGAAAACATAGACTCAAGAAAATAAATTGTCTATACAGCTCCTGGAAGAAAAACAACATATGATAAAAATCAACTGATTTCATCCATCAGGTAAAGCATCCAGCACACGATCCTGATTCTGTGCAAAATTAGAAATAATTTTTTATTTTAAATTTAACTGTCATTTCTGCTTTGATAAAATAATTTATTCAAGAAAAAAAGTTTTATTTTAAGGCAAAATATTAACTGCAGCTGTTTTTAAAGACAAAATGAAATGCTAAATTAAAGAACGTGAACTTTTCTTGATAAAACACCGTTACGTTTAACTCAAATTTCTTCTCCCTACTGAAAAACTACTGAGAAAACATGATTCAAAGATGTTTTTTTTTTATTTGAACATTTTAAAATAATATATACATTTTGTGATTTCTACTCTTGTGTTTTCTTAGTTTCCACTATAACTTGACATTCATAAATTACCACCCACACAGGACAAACAATCATGCACACAAGCATTCACACCTAAGCCCAATTTATTACACCAATTATCCTGGCAGTTTTGGACTTTGGGAGGGAGTACCCAGAGAGAACCCATGGAAATTAGGACAACATGAAAACCCCATGCAGAAAGACCTCTGGCTGAGATTTGAACCTAAAACCAGCTCGCTGAAAACCACAATGCTACAGACTGTTCCACACAGCAGCCGACATTACCTTGGATTATTTAAATTTTCTCATATTGCCCTTACGGAAATGAATTATTTGCTTTGGCAGGCAAGTCTTGCACATTTGGATGACATCCTAATTAAGCTGTCAAATGTAGTCAGTCATTTGAAAAGACATATTTTTATTATATTCCTTGAGTTTAGCCTACCTGCCGCGTTTCTTTGACATGTTTCCATAAATTCACACGGCCCTGTAAAAAAAAATAACTAGGTTAGTTCAAAAATAAGTTCGGAAAAATAATTAAAGCTCATAAAGTCACTGAGGAGAAACCCGCAAGTAGTTAAAGTGATCAAGTTTAGGCCAGCAGTTCAAGCTTAATGACCCGCAGATATGCAAAATATGAGAGGATCCCGAGAACCGGATGTAAACAAGCCACAGAGCTAACTACCTTGGTTTGAAGCTAACTACAGGTTACATATTTATGCAGCTAACCTTATGGCTAATAAATAACTTAGCACAGTGCTGCTAAACAAACACAGCCGTGGTCATTCAAAATATAAACCCACAGCATGTTCAACATTTAACAAGTCAGACGACTAAAGCCCAGAGAGCATTTGCGTCGCCACTTCCTGTAAAATACAAAATATTTTACAGAAAGTGGTTTCTACATTTCTGCACATAAGCTAGCCGAACAAAAGGAAATGCATCGCCATGTACGCGCTGATTTTTGCACCACTGCGACAGCGACTACAACAACATGGAAACAAGAACCACACAAAATAAATGAGCTGACAGCCTTTACCAGGACGACGGGTCAAATGTTCAAGAGCCGTCAGGAGAAGTCGTTTGTCCTGCCCGATCAATAATTTCACATGTGATTTGTGTTTGCTGAGCGGATTCCTCCACCTAACGTAGGCTACACGGAAGCGACACTGTTTTAGGAACTACAACTACCAGGAGCCTCCCGCAGCTCGCAAAGCCCTCTGGGAATTCTAGTTAGACGAAATTAGGCATCCTTTTCATCTTCTGCAGCATCCGTGTCTCCACTTATATTTAATAATTTATGTTTTACAAAGGTCACATTTTTACAAGCTGGTTAAGCCTCTTTGGTCCGGCGTTCATCTTCAGCACCCTCTCTGTTTGCACGCTGCATAAAAATGATCATATCATAGCTGCAAATTCTGCTGATTGTCATTGAAGATGAACCAAAATTATTTATATTAGCCAAATAACAGAAAAACGAAAATTTACTAAATTATTATCCTAAATCAAAGCTTTACATACATTTTCTTTTTATTTAGTAAAATCACCTGACTTAGATAAAACTTTTCTGGGTACCCTTCTACAATAGTTTACTGGAAGTGGAGATCAGGGCTTTATATGGAAGAAGATTAGGGCCACTGGAAAAAAAAAAAAAAAAAAATCTGACTTTTTTTCTCAGAATTATGACTTCTGAGAAAAAAGTCCGAATTCGGAAATTTTTTGTCAGAATTCTGACTTTTCTTTCTCAGAATTCTGAGATTAAAGTCAGAACTGTTTTATTTATTTTTTTCCAGTGGCCCCAATCTTCTTCCGTAGATTTATGATGGCTGCTCTGAAATATGTTTCAAATCTACTTTGAAACATATTTTTCAGTTTGCTTAAGTACCTCCGATAGCAAATCATTCTTGTAACAAGATGCTGCCACCTTCCTGCTTCGTGGTTTTCAGTCTGAGTGTCATGCAGCATTGTGTTTGAGGCGTTGTCTTGGAATACATCTAATTAACTCTGTGATGTAAATTAACCTTTCAGAACTTTTCAAAGCCATAACATCATCATCATCCAAGCTTTCACCAATTTTTTTATTTGTGCTTATTTAGTAAATAAACTAAAGAATGTGAAGACAAACTTTTTGAAAATCAAAAAAACAATTCTCTTTACTGTTTTAAATTATAAATTAACCAAAAAAGGAGAAGTGTTGTATGATTTATGTGTTGCGCCCTTTTTGACCAAAAAAATGAAACAAAAATGTACTGTAATTATATTTTGTGATACGTACTGAGAAATTACATTATTTAATCAAAACTGCTGTTCAAGAATTTTTTCACCAATATTTTTTTTCAGATGAGCTGCTTTCATGAGTTGTAAATGGTCTTTTGGTCACTGAAATATAGACTTCATCCACAAGATGTCACACTAAACACAGAATCTCTGTCCCTGCCTCTGCTAACAGACTGTGATCATAAACTGAGCAGCGGACAGTAAATGATCAAGCACCCTGGGATCCACCTGACAGGCCATTTTAGGATAAAAGATTTTGGGATCTGACATGCGAACAGCGAAAAAACCAACAGGCCATCCATCTTTTTTTACTCTTATTGCAACTCAGTATATAATATTTACAGGTTATGTTTGCTTTCTTATTTCTTATGCATTGTTTATTGTTTATAGTTTATTGAACTAATACGTTTGCAACTTGTTTCTGTCAGTTTATTTGGTTTCACTTTGAATATCTGGACTAATGAAAAACTGTTCATTTTTCTAAATATTAAGGTTCACAACAATAATGAGAAACAAGAGCAGCACGGAAATTAGAAATATTTGATCACTTATTTGAATCCAACAATCAAAAACAAGATTATGCTTGAAGATATAGATTAATTTTTTTTGTCATATTTTGTAAGTGTCAGAAAGAAGTTTCCTGATGTAAATCAAAGACATGCAAGGATGGGAGGTATTCTTGCCATGATGCCAGCAATGTAATTTCCTCTTTGGACCATGATTTGACCTGGAGATGGCTTCTCTAAATTAGTTCATCGAGTTCTGGGACCTCTTGACTAATTTACAGACATTGGACCTTTACACCCTGTAAAGAATGATTTAATTTTATTTTATGGTGTGGACCCCAGGAAGAATAATTTCTTCTCTTCTAGAGACTAATAGGGATCCTTAAATAAACAAATAAACAAAGTACTCTGAGAACCTGAACTCCAATCTCCTGTTTCTTTCATTTTATCATCTATGACATTGCAGGTTACACACCAGGCCTGCATTAGAGTAATGAAATTAGAGATCTGGGTTTGAACTGTGTGGCTGCACCAGTTTCAGAGTCACTTCTGAGACGTGTCAATGTTGGAGCACTGAAAAGCTCAGGGCATTTCGTGAAGAAACGAGTGTTGCATTGATACAAAGCTGTCTGGTGTCCAAGGTTGCCTCCTCTTGTCCTTCCTGTTGTCACAGCAACAGAAAAACCTGGATGCTGAGAAATTGGGCCGTCTTCTTTCAATGTTTTTTTTCCACTATTGCCCCTCATTACAGTATCTGTTTAATCAAAGGATATTCATCTGCTATCAAAGTTTTATTTGCTCACAGTAGCGCTCTGCCTTTTACTTCTTGAAGTCATAACGGATGTTCTGCTTTTACATCCAACCCCCCCCCCCCCCCCAAAAAAAATGCGAAGCCCCGTGTTTACTTGTCGTGATGACTGACATTTTCTGGAGCTCGCAGGTTTCTGTCTTGCTCTGCCATCAGAGGAGGGGGGAGCCCTCAGCGGGCCTCTCTCCTGGAAGCCCATGAGAACACTGACTCCAAAAATAGAGGAACCCTCTTCCTCTCCTTCAGTCTCCACTGTTCATCTGTGTGTACAATATCTATGCATTGCTTCACAGGATGAAGGACACAGAAGGTCGTCTGCCCACTCATTCATTGAGACTAAACATGTATTGCTGGGAGATTAAAGAGCACAAACTAAGATTGACTCTTAGGAACCAATATTGCTAGCAATTATTCCAAAAGAGGGAAAATTATAAGCGGATGCTGTATTGAAATGTCTCCAGACATGAACTGCAATCACGCCGGTTTGTATGTTTAAGAAATCCTATAGATGTTGAACGAGAGGTGCTGCAAATTGTGTGCTGTATCTGGATTTTTTATTTTTTTTTCTTCCTGTGTGTGGCAAATGTGCCTTTCCTCTTAGTGAATGAAAAACAAACCATCTTGAGCCAAATCACCGCGAATTACCGCGATTCTCCATCTTAAGTACACTTTGACTTTGAAGATAATGAATTATGACAGACTGCAAGATCTGTGTACGCTAAACTACCCGTGTTCGTATTTGTAATGAGCTGCTTTGTTTTTCTTCAGATCAGAGTTGATTCTCTCTTACAGAGCAGGCTGTTTCCCCATCTACTGGAAACTTCAGCAGAAAGAACAGGCGTCTGGCTGCCAAACACTGTAAGTAGTGGTGAGAATTGGTCAAAAAATGTCAATATTGAAAGACTACGGTGCGATTAAAGCAAAAGTTTAAAGACAAACGTTGGAGAAGGTTGGTTTAGTTATTGGAAAAACTCTAAACAAAGCATGTAATTAGCTCCAGGTTTAACTGGAACCGTGTGTGAAGATGATTTCTGATTGTTTCTAAGAAACAATCACTAATTAAACAGCAGGTGCAATGCTAGCAGAATATACAATTTTTAAACGTCATAGCTGTGGGTTATTGTTCCAGGGGATATCTCTCTTTCACTCACTCCTTGCTGGTTCCTTCCTTTTACGCCCGGCTGTTTTCTCGCAACCGGCAACAGGGAATTGGTAGGACTAGCATCTGCCAAACATTTATTTCAATATTAACAGAAGATTGAGCTACCTTCTCTATTGGGAGAGTTATTTATTATTACATTTCAAGTGTGTAATTTAGTTTCTTAGGACACGTGACAGCTTGCCAGTTTGGGTCTCTCTGGGGTGTCAAAAGCAGTTAATTTGAGCCCACAACGTATCTCATGATATATATATATATATATATATATATATATATATATATATATATATATATATATATATAGATAGATAGATAGATAGATAGATAGATAGATAGATAGATAGATAGATAGATAGATAGATAGATAGATAGATAGGGGCTATATCCAGGACTGATGTGGGCAATTAAATAATGACAGCTTTTGCAAAGTATGAATTAAGTGCTGCAGAAATAACTTCATGATTACTAATTGTTCTTTCCAGCAGCTAAGGGTAACATCTGCTATCCTGAACTTAACCGTAGCACTGAAGATTCGGTCTAATTACATTCATTCAGTGTGATAATAAGTAAATCCTCATATTAATTGGGTCTTGGGATTGTGAAGCTCTAACTGTCAGAGCGAATTGACCCTAAGAAAGGGTTGAGGTACATCTGGCTCCGTTTGCACACACCTCTAATTAACACCACCTCTCCAACATGAACACACACTTCTGTGTCTGCGCATGTGACATAGGAGCTTTTGACCCCAATCAAGCCAAGCACACCAAACGAACAAAAATAACACAATGTGGGATTTACCTCTGACCACCAGCAGCAGGCGAGGCGGGTCAGCTAGAGGCTGCACACATGCACAGAGAGCAGCACAATTTTGCTTCCATCAAAAACAAAAGAAAACACTACAAAACAGGGCAGATGCAAAGACAGCAAAATTGCTTCTTACAAAGCAAAGTTAGAGTTAGGGTTAGCAGGAGCTGGAGCTGTGTCTGCATTCTGCTGTATTTACCAACACTGTGATCCATATAGATAATCATTTTTACATTAAGAAATTCATTTGATAGGAAAAAAAAAAGTTAAGATTTCTGTTAATAAGCCAATGGTGGTCCTGGATTTCATGCCATCCTGCCAACAAGATACAAAAATTGAAAATAACTCTCCTGCGCCTGCTGTCTAGTTTTTGTTAAGATCCTGCTCCTGAAATGTATATCTTTCTTCTCGTTTTATTAAACTCTGCCCCCAAACAAAACAAATGAAACATCATTCAAATTGCTCCCTCAGGTTGTTGGTTAAATGTTAAATATCGTGCTACCTTCAGAGGCTGCTTGACGACGGAAAGGTAGAGCTTAGTAGTAACTCTTTAAACTTAATCGTGCTTCAAACAGCTTGTGGAGTTTATGAGCCTGATGAGAGCTGCAGGAGAGAAGCTGTGAGCCAGGATAG